CCGTACCGTACCGTACCGTACCGTACCGTACCGTACCGTACCGTACCGTACCGTACCGTACCGTACCGTACCGTACCGTACCGTACCGTACCGTACCGTACCGTACCGTACCGTACCGTACCGTACCGTACCGTACCGTACCGTACCGTACCGTACCGTACCGTACCGTACCGTACCGTACCGTACCGTACCGTACCGTACCGTACCGTACCGTACCGTACCGTACCGTACCGTACCGTACCGTACCGTACCGTACCGTACCGTACCGTACCGTACCGTACCGTACCGTACCGTACCGTACCGTACCGTACCGTATGTAATATTAAAGTTAATATGGTCGTATTCAAAATATAGAATAAAATACAATATAAATAATATTCTAAGCTGGACACCGTCCTGCGACCTAATATTAATTAGTGCTACCGCTGGCCAAAGATGTCGACAATAATAGTAATAGTACCACTATTGGCAACAAGATGTCGCATATAAAGTAATAGTGCCACCAAAGAACACAAGATGTCGTCACTAAAGTATAAAACACGCTATAATTTCTTCTAACTCAATCAAGATATTCGATATGAAAATAATTAAACCTACGGTTTAGGTTTTTTTTTTTTTTTTTTTTTTTTTTTTTTTTTTTTTTTTTAAAGTTATTTCTGTCGCTATCTTTGAGGCGACAGCTTTCTAATCTGTTTATATTTATATCTGTAAAATTTTTTTTTTTTTTTTTTTTTTTTTTTTTTTTTTTTTTTTTTTTTTTTTTTTTTTTTTTTTCCTGTATTTACTATTATATGTATATGTATATATATGTACATTAACTATAGTAAAGTCCGAGTTATGTATTTTGTCAATCCATGTATTTAGTGCCATTCTCCTGCCCTATTACTTTAAATATCATTTTAGCGAATTGTATTAATTGGAACCTGCTGGAATCGTCTTCAAATATACTTTTTTTTTTTTTTTTTTTTTTTTTTTTTTTTTTTTTTTTTTTTTTTTTTTTTTTTTTTTTTCTTTTAAGTTATATTAGTATTTGTAAGAAATTCAAAATTTAATCTTTTATATGAAAATCTAGTACATTCTATAAGGAGATGCATAATAGTTTGCGGAGTTTCACCATCACAGGTACAATTTGGTGAATCAATTAATTTAAATCTATGCAAATATGATCTATTTCCCCCGTGTCCAGTTAATAGATGAGTAATTGTATTGTCTATCCTTACTGCTTTTAAAATTTTGTGTGCTTTTTTTTTTTTTTTTTTTTTTTTTTTTTTTTTTTTTTTTTTTTTTTTAATATCTGGTAAAAATTCCTTAGTAATACTTCCGGTTTTAGTTTCTGAATAAAATTTTTGTAATATTTTGATGGATTTTTCTCTTATTTCTCGCTTAACCAGAGACAGGGGAAATCGATCATATGAGGGTAGGTATCATTTTGCTGAGGCAGCTTTAGCTAGAGGTCTGCTCTTTCATTACCTGGGATGCCTATAGAGCTTTAACCCAGTGTAAAAGAACCTTCCCTCCTCTCGCCTCATGAGCCAGTATTTGGTTGCGTATTTCTACTGTTAGGTTAGGTTAGGTTGTTAGGTTAGGTTGGGTTAGGTTAGGTTAGGTTAGGTTAGGTTAGGTTAGGTTAGGTTAGGTTAGGTTAGGTTGGGGTGCTGGGTCGGAAAACCTCCAAGAGTGCCCTGGCTCATTGTACGGTCACTTGTCCTGGTGCGGATACGTCCGGCGGGAACGGTGGCTGACAATGGCTGGGGCCTGGTGCATCCTGGGCAACGGCGGTAAGTGACTTCTCGCTGTAGAGATCTCACTTACCGACGGCTAATATTCCGACAGAGGTGGTGAGCGGCGAGCCCAAGTTATGGGGTTTGTCGTGTTTTCGTTGGGGGCGGGTTTTGTTCCGCGACTTCTCGTAGTGGGAGTTGTCGGCGGGCCCGGTGAGTGCTTCGTTGCGCAATCGGGCTGGTTTCAGTGCCACCGCCGAAAAACCGTAATCCCTCGCGAAGGTGTGGTCATGTTTCGCACCGGAGTGAGGGGACGGGGGCCTTGGCTTAATCGCCTGGGCCGCGAGGAGTAAACCTCTATAAAAATCCTCTTGTGTAAGCTTCGGTGCCTGGCGATGCATAGTTCGTTGTGCGGTGCACGCTACCGGACATCATAAGTTCGGTTAGCGTGTTCTGTGCCGCGGGCGGGTCGGTGGAGTATCATCGGCCGCAAGGGCACCAACCTCGGGGTATCTGCCGCACCCCGTTGTATGTAGGCCGCACGCAGAAGCAGGGGGCTCCCCTGCGTGTGAAACCTTTCCCCCATACTCGTGGGAACAAGTATGGAAATATCAAAAACAAAAACAAAACCCAAAATTGATGTCGTGTCCGAGAAGGACGGTGAGAAAGTAGTGCCTGAGAAGGGCGGAGAGAAGTTGGTGCCTGAGAAGGGCGTAGAAAGTAAGAAGTCGGGGCTAGAACTCCTGAAAGAGTGTTCGGTAGTACTGGGCGAAGATGTTGGTCTCTTAGGTCGTCGTCGTACTCGCCATAGTCTGCTGAGAGCGGTTGCGGGCGAGATCGACTGCGGGTCTACGCGGTCGAGCTCGTGTGCAACCCCAACTGAGGAGATGGAAATGGAACCGTTGCCGTCCACGTCTGGTCTCCGCTCCTGGCGTAAAAGACACATTGCTGAGTCTGACACAGACTCTATAGTTGAGGATGAGGGCGATGTCCAGTCCGCCCGCAAAAGGTCCGGCAGCCCTAGAGTGGGGTCGAGAGCAAGTTCTCGCACAAGGAAGAAGGAGGAATGTCGGCGGCAGTTCAGCTACCGATTCTTTGAGGACGATGTAACCGGAGCGGTCCCTGGGGCGGGTGCTACCAAGTCTGGATTACCTCCAGCGACGGCCCTGGATTATCATGAGAGTGACTTCTTCTCCTCAGGGGATGAAGCGTCGGATATACTGTCGGAGTCGGATAGGCCGACGGCGTCTGGCGCCACTGCCACTGCCGCCGCCGAGAATAAGAATAAAGTGGCCGAGGAGGTAATCCGCAGGGCGAAGTGTCTCGTCCACCGGCAAGCGGATGCTCTCACCGATGTTGTGAAGAAGGCAGGGAACCTCAAAGGGACCACCATAAGGACCCTGAAAGAGGGTTTGGCCGGGATCACACAGGTTGTGGACACCTTGGAGGGGGATCTATTTCCGACGTCGGTCTCTCCACTGGTCTCAAAGAACCTGAGACTTGAGCAGGAAGTCGAGTACCTGCGTCGGCAGTTGGCCGAGGCTCGTGCTGCCAAGCCAGCTGCCAAGCCAGCGGCCAATGCCGGTATCTCGGCGGATGTTGTCCCTCGTAGGGAGTGAGGCGAGCGCGTTCCGCGCTCAAATAATGAGGGACGTCGGCGGAATCGTCCGCCAAATGGTAGGGACGCTTATGAAGGAGGTGAAAGAGATGATCTCTGCTCTCCCCTCCACTGAGAAGGTGTCGTCTGCGTCAGCGGTCTCCACGCAAACCCTGCCAGAGGCTGGAACAATGGCGTCAGATGTGCCCGACCCCCCTAGAGTCGGCGACCGGGGTTCTCTTCCCCAGTCAGAAACGGGTCGGGCCAAGAAGAAAAAGAAGGCGAAGAAGACGCCCGTCACACCGGCGCCTTCTGGACAGCCCGAGTCGGTAGCAACAACATCCGCTCAGCCACCTGTGCAGGCGACCGTGTCCTCCTGGGCGACGGTCGTAAAAGGAAAACGGGGCAAGACCGTCAGTGTTCCCGAAGGGCAGCCTGTGGCTGTCAACCCTCCGGTGACGAAAGCCGGTTCGGCCCCCTCGAAGAAGGCAAAGAAGACGAGCGCACCCTCGCCTTCTAAACTAAAACCGCCTCGCTCCGCGGCGGTTATTATTACGTTGGACCCGGAGGCGGAAAGGGAGGGTGTCGCGTATGCGAATGTCCTTGCGGAGGCCAAGAGAAGGATCGATCTCCGCGCATTGGGGATCGAAGATATGCGGTTTCGCACCGCGATCACCGGCGGTAAGGTTCTAGAGGTTCCAGGTGCTGATGGCGCGGAGAAGGCCGACGTTCTGGCGTCGAAGCTCCGGGAGTTCATCCCGGAGAATATGGCCAAAATCTCCAGGCCCGTAAAGTCCGCGGAGATGCGGATATCGGGCCTGGACGACAGTGTTACGTCGGAGGAAGTGGTCGCTGCGGTTGCCCGGGAGGGCGGCTGTCAGGTGGACCAAGTGCGAGTCGGAGAGGTTCGACGTACTAGATCTGGGGTGGGCACTTGCTGGGTTAAAGCTCCATTGCAAGCAGTTAAGAAGATGACGGTCGCCGGCCGAGTTCGTATAGGCTGGGTTTCGGCGAAAGCAGAGCTCCTGCGGCAGAGGCCGCTTCGGTGCTTCCGCTGCTTGGAGGAAGGACATGTGCGGGCATCCTGCAGTCATGAGCAGGACCGCAGCGGTCTATGTTACCGTTGCGGAAACGAAGGCCATAAGGCGGCGATGTGCGCGGCCGACCCAAAGTGCGCTGTGTGTTCAGCGCAGGGCCGGCCGTCGGACCATTGGGTGGGGTCCAAGGCCTGCACTCCTCCTAAGAAGCGTAAGAAGCAACCGGTGAAATTGCCGAACCCAGCAGGCCGGGTGAGTGTGGAGGGAGAGGAGATGGAAACGGGCAGGTAGTCCCGCCCTCCTCTCCGGCGATAATTACATCGCCACAGGGCCGGGGTGACGACTGCGGGGGCAGTCCCACCCCATACCAACATGGCCCTGGGAAGTCGCGCGCGCATCCCCGCGCGCTTCCCCTAGACGGGGGTGGGTATTCAACATCTCGTACCCGCCCCAAACTGAGTCGGGGCCCGCGAGCCGGTGCGGGCCAACGCCGTTGGGATCCCGGTGGACTACGCAAGGGAACCCGGGTCCCCAACACAAAGGCGCGGCGAGGGAATGCCATGTGGTTTTTAGCCGGTAGGAGTCCGGCAGTATTCACACCCTCCCCCGGGGGTGTGTCTCTGCATGACGCATTTTCCACATGTAAAAAAAAAAAAAAAAAAAAAAAAAAAAAAAAAAAAAAAAAAAAAAAAAAAAAAAAAAAAAAAAAGGTTAGGTTAGGTTAGGTTAGGTTAGGTTAGGTTAGGTTAGGTTAGGTTAGGTTAGGTTGGGGTGCTGGGTCGGAAAACCTCCAAGAGTGCCCTGGCTCATTGTACGGTCACTTGTCCTGGTGCGGATACGTCCGGCGGGAACGGTGGCTGACAATGGCTGGGGCCTGGTGCATCCTGGGCAACGGCGGTAAGTGACTTCTCGCTATTTAGAGATCTCACTTACCGACGGCTAATGTTCCGACGCCGCGGGTGGGACGAGTTCGTGACGCACTATTTGTGTTGCGGACTTGCCTGACTCGCTCTTCGTTTTGTTTCGTCTTCCTGTTTGTTATTCTTCGTTTTTGTTTTGTTTGTTTTATTTTTGTTTTGAGTCTTTACTGTCGTCTTTTCTATCTTCTGTTTTTTTCTGTCGTTTTGTTTTTTCTATCATTTTCATTTTCAATTTCCTTTCGCCTTTCACGGGACCTTCCCCGTTAAAAAAGGAAAACATGAGAATGGCCAGTCGCAAAACTGAATTCCCCAGGGCGGTACCGTCGGGAGACGGAGAATCCGCCACCACCGCACCGGTTCAGCCGGGGGTGGTCAGCCCCGTGTATCTGGGGGGGGCAACGGAAGGCCAGAGTGGAGTAGGAGATGTTGTAATGGAGGAGGTAGTAATGGAGGCGGGACTGGCGACCACAGTCGTGCCAGTCAGGGCCAGTCGGAGTCTGGAGGTGGATCCGGCGACGGATGAGGAACTGGCCAGTCTTGCCGGCGAGATCGACAGCATGTTATCGCGGTCGACCTCGATGGCAAGTCTTTTCAGTGGAGATGAGAGTGGGCTCCTCGAGCGCCCCCGTTCTAGGCGCAAGAGACGAATATCCGAAACCGACGATGGGTCGGCTACAGGATCTGGATGTGACACGCAGTCGGCCGCCAAAAAGGCGAGCGCGGCTAAAAAATCAGGCTAAGAGTGCAAATCGGCGCAGTCAGTTCTGATGTTTCGTTATACGAGGGCGGAAACACGGTGCCCCCGAATACGTCCGAGCTGGAGAAGACTCTTCTCTCGGCGTCCAGTGGAAAAGGTCGTGGCACCGGATTGGCGAAGGCGAAAGCCGACTTGGCTGCCGCCAAAAATCGGAATTTGGAACGTGAGGTTGCCCCTGCAGTGGCGGGCTCCTCCAGGATGTCGGTGCATTCGGAGTTCAAGAAACCCCCTCAGCCCGGGGGTCAGTTCACCGACCCCTTGGAGGCAGAGATGGACGGCTACGTGAGCCACATATCGGAAACGGTGCGGAAATGCGGTAACATAAAAGGAACCATAATTAAAGAGATCAAGTCCTCCCTGACCGGGATCCGCATCGTGACCGAGAAGATGCTCGAGAGGGCACCTCAGCCGAGTACGTCGAACTCCGGAAGGAGAATGCTCGGCTGGCCACGGAGATGGCGAACCAGCGCGTCAGAATGGACGGCATGCTGGAGGAGGCGATCAAGGATCGCAAAGAGATGAAGGCGTTGCGGATGGCACTTTCGTCATCGGGCGGCGACCAGTCGGCCAACACCTCGGCCTACAGTGAGCTCCAGCGCGAACTAGAGCTAGTGCGCAAGGAAAATGCAGAGCTTGCGGAGCAGTACGTTGCGGACCGTCGCGAGCTTCGTCGTCTGAGGCAAGAGCTGGAGGAGGCCAAGAAGGCTACACAGCCACCCTCAGCGTCTGCGGCCGCGGAGAGAGCGCCTGCCGCCCCGGCCACTTTACAGCCGGGTGCAGTCCCTTCAGAAGAAGAGGGAATGGAGGCAAGGATTGTTCGGCAAATCGGTGACATTTTCAGTGCCCGGTTTGCCATCATCGAGGAACGGCTGGGCCAGGTCGGAGGACCCAAACCGCCGCGTAAGCGTAAAAATCGCAAGAGTGCCTCACAGCCACCCACAAATCGGGATGTCGAGGAGGATCCGAAGAGGAAAGGCCCGCCTAGACAGCCGGCCAAAGCCACTGAGACGGGTGCAGACGCTGCTCCCTTACCGTCGACAAGCAATATGTCGGAGGGGTGGTCGACGGTGGTTCGACGGGGCAAGCGGCCCAAGGCGTCAAAGCCGCAGGCAGATCCCGCCAGAAGACGGCACCTAAAGAGGCGGGCCCGCCAAACAAGGCCGGCAAGAAAAAGAAGGGAAGGCGGAGGCGATTCCGTCAACCTAAGTCCGGTTCGGCGGCGGTGACCCTGTGTTGCCTGAGGCTGAGGAGAGGATTTACCTCGTGTTCAGGGAGGCAACCACAAAACTGTCGCCTCAAGAAATGGGCATCTCCGGGATCAGGTATAGGCTGGGCGTCACACAGGCGCGCATCTTGGAAGTGCCAGGCGCCGACTCAGGCGAAAGGCATGATCTGTTGGCGACCGGCTGACAGAAATTCTCCGGAGGGATCGGATCTCGAGGCCGATGAAGACGGCGGAACTGCGCATCGGGATCTTGACGACTCGGTCGTTCCAGCGGATGTGGTCGCCGCGGTTGCGCGGGAAGGGGGTTGTGGCGAGGTGTCAGTCGGGGAGATCCGTCGCAGTCCTTCGGGTGCCGGCACTATCTGGGTCCGAGTCAGGGCAGCCAGAACATAAGGCGGGCCGGATTAAAATTGGCTGGGTGATGGCGCGCGTTCAACCTCTGGATCCGCGCCCCTTGCAAAGCTACCGCTGCCTGCTCTTAGGGCACGTAGCACAGCGGTGCAGGCGAGAGTCGATACCGGCGCAGGGCCTATGCTTCCGCTGTGGGCAGGCGGGCCACAAGTCCGCCAGGCGCCATCTCCAAGATGCGTATGCGCCGTTACGGCCGGGGAAAGTGTGGACAATAGGGTGGGTGGCCGGCCGAAGTGCAAAAGAAACCGCGGAAGACATTCTCGAGCTTCGGCACCAGATGGCCGCGGGGGCGGTGAGTCGATGGACACATAAAGTTCGTCGGCTCTGACGTGGATCTCAGGCGGCGGATGGCGGGAATCAAGCGCCCAGAAGAGACAGGAGGATCCGAGAGTTTAGGTTAGGTTAGGTTAGGTTAGGTTAGGTTAGGTTAGGTTAGGTTAGTTTATGGTTAGGTTAGGTTAGGTTAGGTTAGGTTGGGGTGCTGGGGTGCTGGGTCGGAAAACCTCCAAGAGTGCCCTGGCTCATTGTACGGTCACTTGTCCTGGTGCGGATACGTCCGGCGGGAACGGTGGCTGACAATGGCTGGGGCCTGGTGCATCCTGGGCAACGGCGGTAAGTGACTTCTCGCTATTTAGAGATCTCACTTACCGACGGCTAATATTCCGACACGAGGTGGTGAGCGGCGAGCCCAAGTTATGGGGTTTGTCGTGTTTTTGTTGGGGGCGGGTTTTGTTCCGCGACTTCTCGTAGTGGGAGTGGTCGGCGGGCCCGGTGGGTGCTTCGTTGCGCAGCCGGGCTGGTTTCAGTGCCACCGCCGAAAAACCGTAATCCCTCGCGGAGGTGTGGTCATGTTTCGCACCCGAGTGAGGGGACGGGGGCCTTGGCTTCCGCCTGGGCCGCGAGGAGTAAACCTCTATAAAAATCCTCTTGTGTAACCTTCGGTGCCTGGCGATGCATAGTTAGTTGTGCGGTGCACGCTACCGGACATTAAAAGTTCGGTTAGCGTGTTCTGTGCTGCGGGCGGGTCGGTGGAGTATCATCGGCCGCAAGGCACCAACCTCGGGGTATCTGCCGCACCCCGTTGTATGTAGGCCTCGCAGAAGCAGGGGGCTCCCCTGCGTGTGAAACCTTTCCCCCATACTCGGAACAAGTATGGATATATCGCAAAACCCAAAATTGATGTCGTGTCCGAGAAGGACGGTGAGAAGTGTGTGCCCGCGAAGGGCGGAGAGAAGTCGGTGCCCGTGAAGGGCGAAGTTAGAAAAAAGAAGTCGGAAGTGGAGAACTCTGAAAGAGTGTTCCGTTGTACTGGGCGAGGATGTTGGGAGTTAGGTCGCCGTCGTACTCGTCACAGCTTGTTGAGGGCGGTTGCGGGCGAGACCGACTGCGGGTCTTCGCGGTCGAGCTTGTGTGCATCCCCAATTGATGAAGGCATGGAGACGGAGCGTTGCCGTCCACATCTGGACTACGCTCCTGGCGCAAAAGGCGTCTCAACGAGTCCGATACGGACTCCACGGTCGAGGATGAGGGCGATGTCCAATCCGTCCGCAAAAGGTCCGGCAGCCCTCGAGTGGGATCGAGAGCCAGTGCGATCGCTCGAAAGACGGAGGAGTGGCGGCAATTCACATACCGATTTTTCGAGGAGATGAAGGGACAGCCGCTGGCAAATCTGGTTGCCCCCAGTGACGGTCTTGGATTATCACGAGAGTGATTTCTTTTCTTCCGGAGATGAAGAGTCAGACAAACCGACGGAGCGGACAGGCCGACGGCATCTGGCGCCACTGCCACCGCTGCCGCCGGAACAAGAACAAAGTGGCCGAGGAGGTACTCCGCAGGGCGGTGTCTCGTCCACCGGCAAGCGGATGCTCTCACCGATGTTGTGAAGAAGGCGGGAATCTCAAAGGGACCACCATAAGGACCCTGAAAGAGGGTTTGGCCGGGATCACACAGGTTGTGGACACCTTGGAGGGGGATCTATTTCCGACGTCGGTCTCTCCACTGGTCTCAAAGAACCTGAGACTTGAGCAGGAAGTCGAGTACCTGCGTCGGCAGTTGGCCGAGGCTCGTGCTGCCAAGCCAGCTGCCAAGCCAGCGGCCCATGCCGGTATCTCGGCGGATGTTGTTCCTGTTGTAGGAAGTGATGCGAGCGCATTCCGCGCTCAAATAATGAGAGATGTCGGCGGCATCGTCCGCCAAATGGTAGGGACATTTATGAAGGAGGTGAGAGAGATGATCTCATTGCCCCCCTCCAGAGAAGGTGTCGTCCTCGTCTGCGGTCTCCACGCAAACTTTGCCAGAGGCTGGGACAATGGCGTCAGATGTGCCCGACACCCCTAGAGTCGGCGACCGGGGTTCTCTTCCCCAGTCAGAAACGGGTCGGGCCAAGAAGAAGAAGGCGAAGAAGACGCCCGTCACACCGGCGCCCTCTGGACAGCCCGAGCCGGTGGCTTCGACCTCCGCTCAAACGTCTGTGCAGCCGACCGCGTCCTCCTGGGCGACGGTCGTAAAAGGAAAACGGGGCAAGACCGTCAGTGTTCCCGAAGGGCAGCCTGTGGCTGCCAACCCTCCGGTGACGAAAGCCGGTTCGGCCCCCTCGAAGAAGGCAAAGAAGACGAGCGCACCCTCGCCTTCTAAACTGAAACCGCCTCGCTCCGCGGCGGTGATTATTACGTTGGACCCGGAGGCGGAAAGGGAGGGTGTCGCGTATGCGAATGTCCTTGCGGAGGCCAAGAGAAGGATCGATCTCCGCGCATTGGGGATCGAAGATATGCGGTTTCGCACCGCGATCACCGGCGGTAAGGTCCTAGAGGTTCCAGGTGCTGATGGCGCGGAGAAGGCCGACGTTCTGGCGTCGAAGCTCCGGGAGTTCATCCCGGAGAATATGGCCAAAATCTCCAGGCCCGTAAAGTCCGCGGAGATGCGGATATCGGGCCTGGACGACAGTGTTACGTCGGAGGAAGTGGGCGCTGCGGTTGCCCGGGAGGGCGGCTGTCAGGTGGACCAAGTGCGAGTCGGAGAGGTTCGACGTACTAGATCTGGGGTGGGCACTTGCTGGGTTAAAGCTCCATTGCAAGCAGTTAAGAAGATGACGGTCGCCGGCCGAGTTCGTATAGGCTGGGTTTCGGCGAAAGCAGAGCTCCTGCGGCAGAGGCCGCTTCGGTGCTTCCGCTGCTTGGAGGAAGGACATGTGCGGGCATCCTGCAGTCATGAGCAGGACCGCAGCGGTCTATGTTACCGCTGCGGAAACGAAGGCCATAAGGCGGCGATGTGCGCGGCCGACCCAAAGTGCGCTGTGTGTTCAGCGCAGGGCCGGCCGTCGGACCATTGGGTGGGGTCCAAGGCCTGCACTCCTCCTAAGAAGCGTAAGAAGCAACCGGTGAAATTGCCGAACCCAGCAGGCCGGGTGAGTGTGGAGGGAGAGGAGATGGAAACGGGCAGGTAGTCCCGCCCTCCTCTCCGGCGATAATTACATCGCCACAGGGCCGGGGTGACGACTGCGGGGGCAGTCCCACCCCATACCAACATGGCCCTGGGAAGTCGCGCGCGCATCCCCGCGCGCTTCCCCTAGACGGGGGTGGGTATTCAACATCTCGTACCCGCCCCAAACTGAGTCGGGGCCCGCGAGCCGGTGCGGGCCAACGCCGTTGGGATCCCGGTGGACTACGCAAGGGAACCCGGGTCCCCAACACAAAGGCGCGGCGAGGGAATGCCATGTGGTTTTTAGCCGGTAGGAGTCCGGCAGTATTCACACCCTCCCCCGGGGGTGTGTCTCTGCATGACGCATTTTCCACATGTAAAAAAAAAAAAAAAAAAAAAAAAAAAAAAAAAAAAAAAAAGGTTAGGTTAGGTTAGGTTAGGTTAGGTTAGGTTAGGTTAGGTTGGGGTGCTGGGTCGGAAAACCTCCAAGAGTGCCCTGGCTCATTGTACGGTCACTTGTCCTGGTGCGGATACGTCCGGCGGGAACGGTGGCTGACAATGGCTGGGGCCTGGTGCATCCTGGGCAACGGCGGTAAGTGACTTCTCGCTATTTAGAGATCTCACTTACCGACGGCTAATATTCCGACAGAGGTGGTGTGCGGCGAGCCCAAGTTTGGGTTCGTTGTGTTTTCATTGCGGGGGCGGGTTCTGTCCCGTGGCTCCTCGTAGTAGGAGTGGTCGGCGGGCCCGGCGGGTGCTTTGCTGCGCAGCCGGGCTGGCTTCTGTGCCACCGCTGAAAAACCGTAATCCCTCACGAAGGCGTGGTCATGTCTTACACCTGAGTGAGGGGACGGGGGCCTTGGCTTAACCGCCCGGGCCGCGAGGAGTAAACCTCTATAAAAATCCGTTTGTACCAAGTTCCGGTGCCCGGCGAGGGGCAGCTCATTCTGCGGATCGCGCCGTGGGGCGCAAATTCCTGTGTTCGACGTCGTGCTTCGTGGAATGGGTGGTCGGTAACGTCATATCGGCCGTTAGGGCACCAACCGCTGGGCACCTGCCGCACCCAGTGTGTATTAGGCCGCACATGGAAGCAGGGGGCGACCCCATGTGTGACTTCATCCCCCATACTCGTGGGAATCAAATGGAATCATTGAATATAAAAAACTCTTTTGACGTTTTGGAGTCCGAGAAGGACGGCGTGATGTTGGAGCCCGTGAAGGGCGGAGCGACGTTGGAGCCCGGGAAGGGCGGTGTGGTGACGGAGCCCGGGAAGGGCGGAGAGAAAGAGATGGTGAGATTGAAGGAGTGCGCGGTGGTGTTGACTCGAAGCCCGAGTGTTGCACTCAACAGAACCGCAAGCGAGGAAAGGATGGATGTTCTGGATTCATCGGATACGGGTAGCTTGATGACTGTTGCGTCGCTACCCATGGAGGAGACCAAGTCCACTGAGGGGGAGTTGAGCTCCAAATTTTTCAGGGGCCGACTCCGGGCGGGGTCAAAAAGACGATGTTTGCGGACGAGCTCGGATTCCGACTCTGGCTCGGAAGTAATGCAGGGGTCATCGCCTTCCTCCATTTCGAAAGGAGCGCGCAGAGGACGTGGTCGGCCACCAACAACCGGCCAATATGTCGGGCTCGCCAAAGCTCAGGAATACCTGAACAAGGTCAAGAGGGAAGAGCTTGAGCTGCGGGCTATGGAAGAAGTTTCGGACCTGGCACGCCGGGTTCTTCCGCGCAGAGGCGCGCAGGCAGCGTTGCCCGCTGCGGAAGAGGCGAAAACAACCCATGAGCTGTCCAAAGTGATTGATGACGCCATGGAAGTGGTCGCCCAAATTGCTGCCAGGTCTAAAAACCTGAAGGGTGGCTATGTTCGCGACCTGAAGAACGTGGTCGCAACAGTCAGGTCGGCGACTGTGAACATAGCCAAGTGTACCTCTTCTGAGGACAACATAAAGCTGATCGAGGAGAATGCGCGGCTGCGTGCGGAGCTGAATGACGTCCGCAAGGAGCTCCAAGAAGTACGCGCCGAAGTGCGTTCTATAAGTGAGAGGCCGGCTGCGCTGCCCGTCAACTCCCCTCAATTACTGGGGAACCAGGACGTCCTAGACCAGCTGATGCTGATGATTAGGAATGCCATCGATGAAAAAATTGATGGCATCAGGGACCGGCTGCTACCGGAAAAGCGGCGTATCCCGCTTGCCGCGGACCTGAGGGCGGCACAAGCGGGAGCATCTGCGGCAACGCAGCCAATTGGTGGGTCGGTCCCTCAGCCTCCAACCGTGGCGGATGCCTCAAAGACTAAGAAGAAAAAGGCGAGGAAGGGAAGGGCAAGTGAGGTCGAGGACTTAGGGTCCCAGGCGCCAGACGCCGCTCCGCGAGCGCAGCCCCAGCCGGTGGTGGCGAACACTAACGAAGAGGGGTGGACCACCGTCGTCAAACGGGGAGCCAAGAAACGGCAAACACAGGCGGGCGCGCCAAAAAAGGCGACGCAGAGCGTGAAGAAGCCGGCGCCGTCCAAACTGCGTCCTCCTCGTTCGGCGGCGGTGGTTGTCGCCATAAACGAAGAGGCACAGAGAAATGGCGTTAACTACGCCCAGGTTTTGAGGGAAGCAAAGTCCCAAATAAGTCTTCCCTCCCTGGGCATTGAGTCTATTAGATGCAGAACCGCTGCAACCGGCGCCAGAGTCATCGAAATCTCTGGCGCCACGAGCGGGGATAAGGCTGACGCTCTTGCCTCAAAACTCCGGGAGGTGCTCCCCGAGAGTGCGGTCCAGGTGTCCCGACCCGAAAAGACGGCCGAGATGCGCATTTCGGGCCTGGACGACTCGGTGACCCGGGAGGAGCTCACCGCTGCTGTCGCTCGGGCCGGTGAATGCCGAGAGGAGGGCATTAAAGTCGGCGAAATCCGTCGCAACGCTTCCGGCCTGGGCACTTGTTGGGTCCGCGGCCCGGTCATGGCCATCAAGAAGATAACTTCGGCGGGTAGAATCCTCGTGGGATGGGTCTCGGCGCGATGCGAGTTGCTGCAGCAAAGACCGCTGAGGTGCTATAAGTGTCTGCAAGGTGGACATGTGAGGGCACAGTGTCCGCAGGAAGAGGACCGCAGCGGCCTTTGCTATAGGTGCGGTAAAGAGGGGCACAGGGCGGCGACATGTTCTGCCAAACCCAAGTGTGTGGTTTGTGCCTCTCTAGGACGTCCGGCGGAGCACTTCGTGGGTGCCAAAAACTGCGCACCGACCAGCCGAAAACAGAAGAAAGGAGCCGCGAAAGCGGCCGCCCAGCCCAGTGGCCGGGGTGCGGGGGAGGCAATGGACACCGCCGCTTAAATGGCTCATCGTCTACTGCAGGCGAACATCAACCACTGCGTCCGTGCTCAGGACCTGCTTATGCAGAGCGCGGCGCAGTGGTCGATCGATTTGATGGTGGTCGCGGAACCGTACTTCTTGCCCGACGGGGCGAACTGTTTCGGCGACCTAGATGGTACTGTGGCCGTGGTTGCTGCCGGACGTAACATTCCCTCAGCTCCCACTACCCTCTTGTCCAAAGGAGCAGGCACCGTGTTGGTAGAATGGGAGGGAATAGTGGTGGTCGGAGTATATTTCTCCCCCAACAGGACTGTCGCCCAGTTCCAGCGTTTTCTTGCCGAGCTGGATGCTCTGTTAGGCCGGTACCACACTCGGCCAGTACTGGTGATGGGGGACTTTAATGCCAAATCTACGGCTTGGGGTTCCCCAGCAACTGACACGAGAGGCGGCGTCCTGGAGGATTGGGCGTTGGCCGCGGGCCTATCTGTTTTGAATGCGGGCCATACTCCCACCTGCGTGCGCTGGCAGGGAGAGTCGATAGTGGACGTTGCTTTCGCCAGTCCATCCGTCGCGAGCCGTGTCCGTGGCTGGCGGGTGGTGGCCGATGTGGAGACTCTCTCTGACCACGCGTACATCAGATTTGATGTCCAGCAGGAGGTCCGCACTTCATCCTCGCAGGCGGGTAACGCGTCTCGGTTCCCTAGGTGGGCCTTGAAACGCCTTGATCAGGATGCTCTCTTGGAGGCTGCCATCGTCGAAGCTTGGCTTCTAAACTCGGAGGAACAAGTCGAGGTGGAAGCGGGAGCGGCTAAGTTCGGCGCGGCCATGACGCGTATCTGCGACGCTGCGATGCCACGAGCTAAACCGCCACCTCCCAGGCGGCAGGTACACTGGTGGTCGGAAGAAATTGCAATCCAGCGGAGAGACTGCGCGGCCGCCAGGAGGCGATACACCAGGTACCGTCGCAGACGACTCAATCGCAGCGGAGATGTCGAAGCCGAGCTATACGACTCTTATCGCACGGCCAAGAAGGCCCTTCAGCACCTGATCAGCGAAGCCAAGGCTAAAGCCAAGGAGGAACTCCTAGGGACTCTAGACCGGGACCCGTGGGGCCGGCCTTATCGTTGTGTCAGGGGAAAACTTCGCCCTTGGGCACCACCCCTCACGGAGACGCTGGAACCCGAGCGACTGGAGCGGATATTGACCGCACTCTTCCCTTCGCAGCCCGAATTTGCTCCTCCGCCCATGGGGCGACCGGCACGAGGAAACGACAGTGAGGGAGAAGCGCCGTGTATCTCCTCGGCTGAATTCGAGTTGGCCGTGGACAAAATGCGGGCCAAATCGACCGCCCCGGGCCCAGACGGGGTTCCCGATCGGGCGCTGGCGCTTGCGTTAAACGAGCTCGGGGACTATCTTCGGCGAGTCTACGACGTCTGTCTGCAAACGGGACGGTTCCCTAATAGGTGGAAGGTGGGCAGGCTCATCCTACTGCTGAAGGATGGACGCCCTTTGGACTCGCCGTCGGCTTACCGTCCCATCGTTCTGCTCGATGAGGTCGGTAAGCTTTTCGAGCGCATCCTTGCCGGTCGCCTCGTGAAACACTTGGAACGAGAGGGTCCTAACTTGTCTCCGTTTCAGTTTGGCTTCCGTCGTTGTCGGTCCACGATTGACGCTATTGCGCGGGTCAGGGATATGTCTGATGAGGTGGTGTCCCGGGGCGGGGTGCTTATTGCGGTGTCGTTGGATATTTCCAACGCGTTCAACACCCTGCCCTTCTGCTGCATCGAGGAGGCTCTCAAATATCATGGCGTGCCTCGGTACTTGCGCAATGTCATCGGCGCCTACTTGGAAAGTAGGACGGTTGTTTGTGTGGGGCGCAATGGCCGACTAATAAGGAAAGAGGTGGAGCGTGGAGTTCCGCAGGGCTCGGTTCTAGGCCCGGTCCTGTGGAATGTCGGGTACGACTTTGTTCTGCGGGGTGCCTTGCTGCCGGGTGCGGGCCTCACGTGTTACGCGGACGACACGTTGGCCACGGCTCGAGGTCGCGATTACCGAGAGGCGTCAAGGCTGGTCACGGCAACCACAGCTCTAGTAGTCGGCCGTATCCGTCGGCTGGGTCTTCAGGTGGCCCTAGAGAAATCGGAGGCCATTTGCTTCCACGGCCCACGTCGTGCCCCGCCACAGGGGTCGTCCATCATGGTCAGCGGGACGAGTATTCCGGTCAAGCCGCAGCTCCGTTACCTGGGGTTGACTCTGGACGGGCGATGGAACTTCAGGGCCCACTTTCAAAACCTGGCCCCCCGCCTCATGGCGGCTGCGAACGGGCTCAGCAGGCTCCTGCCCAACCTGGGAGGGCCGAGCGACTGTTGTCGCCGTTTATACCTCGGGGTGGTTCAGTCGATGGCCCTTTACGGTGCCCCCATTTGGGTAGGGGCTCTCGATAGGGAGAACGTGGCCGCTTTGCGTCGCCCTCAAAGGGCTATGGCGATACGGGCCATACGAGGGTATCGCTCCGTTTCGGGGGACGCGGCCTGTCTGCTGGCGGGATCCCCTCCCTGGGACCTGGAGGCGAGGGCTCGCGCATCAATGTACAATTGGCGCGCAGCTCTCAGAAGCCGGGGCGAAGAGCCGCTTCCTGGCGATGTCAACGCCAGGAAATCTCAACTGAAGCGGGCCCTGAGGAGAGAATGGAAGGCAAGGTTGGAGGATTCCCGAACCGGTCGGTGGACAGTGGAGGCCATTCTGCCCGTCCTGTCGGAATGGCTGAACAAAAGGCGTAGGGGTCCCGTGACATTCCGTCTGACACAGGTGCTTACCGGACATGGTTGTTTCGGTAAGTACCTGTTCCAAATTGCCGGAAGAGAAGTCTCGCCTAAATGTCACGAGTGCGACGTCTGCGACCAGGACACGGCGCAGCACGTCATCGAGGAATGTCCAGCTTTTGCTGAGGAGCGCCGCGACCTGGTCGCGGATATCGGAAATGACCTCTCGCTATCGGCGATAGCCAGGCAGATGGTCACCAGTCGGGAGTGCTGGACGGCGGTTGTACGGTTCTGCGAGGCCGTGATGAGCAAGAAAGAGGCGGCAGAAAGGGACCGTGAACTGGACCCCTCCGCGGCCTTGATTCGTCGCAGAAGATTGAGAGGAAGAAGAAGGAGGGACTCCAATAGTGTCCCATCTCCTCCGCCCGGCCAACGCAACAATTAGGCAGGTCGGGAGAGAGAGCAGCGGGAGGAGGTGGAATCGGGCTTCTTAGGCCCGCTCCTCCCCGGCGATTTCTGTATCGCCACAGGGCCGGGGTGACGACTGCGGGGGCAGTCCCACCCCATACCAACATGGCCCTGGGAAGTCGCGCGCGCATCCCCGCGCGCTTCCCCTAGATGGGGGTGGGTATTCAACATCTCGTACCCGCCCCAAACTGAGTCGGGGCCCGCGAGCCGGTGCGGGCCAACGCCGTTGGGATCCCGGTGGACTACGCAAGGGAACCCGGGTCCCCAACACTAAGGCGCGGCGAGGGAATGCCATGTGGTTTTTTTTTTTTTTTTTTTTTTTTTTTTTTTTAGCCGGTAGGAGTCCGGCAGTATTCACACCCTCCCCCGGGGGTGTGTTTCTGCATGACGCATTTTCCACATGTAAAAAAAAAAAAAAAAAAAAAAAAAGGTTAGGTTAAAGGTTGGGGTTGGGGTGCTGGGTCGGAAAACCTCCAAGAGTGCCCTGGCTCATTGTACGGTCACTTGTCCTGGTGCGGATACGTCCGGCGGGAACGGTGGCTGACAATGG